TTTGTGTCCAATAAACATCAAAATGGCTGAACCGATCGGGCCCAATTTTTTGTGTGACCTCGCGTGACCCCATGGAAGGTTTGTGGATAGTCGAATTTTCAAAAATGTGCCTTCATTAAAATTTGCAAAAGTTTTGTTTGTTTTTGTTTTACAATAAAAACAAAGAGTACATGTTCACAACGGAAATGGAAGTTGGGCGTGAAGCGCCCCAATAGCCTACTATTAAACATTTAAAATTAAATTAAAAAATTTAATTCAAAATTCAAAATTCAAATTAAATTAAAATTAAATTTAAGTATTGAATATTAAAAATAAAATCTGTTTTTTGAAATAAGGTTAAAAAATTCTAATTTTCAAACAATCTCAATTTCTCACATTCTTTCAATCAAACTTTCCTCCATCAATAAAACAATTATGACGCACGAAGGGAAAACTTGTCCAAGGGTTTTAAATTAACGAAACAAACTTTATTTATTGTAAAGTTTTCCCTTCAGTAAGGGGTAATTGATCACATAACTGTCTTAAAAAGATTGGCTTTTGTTGTAAATATAACTTTGATATTTGTTTATTTAGTATATTTAGAGCTTTTTTCATTCAAAATCAACAGCAATACAGTGTGATCTGTATTTTGAAATTTTTTCATTTGTAAATAAAAGAAAGAAAAAAAAACATTGAATCAAAAAAGAATTGATAAAAGGGATGAAAAGCTAAGACAACGGAGAGTAAAGAACGGACGAGTGCCGTGACCGGGTGAGGGGGGGGGAAGCCGGGGAACATCAAACTAAAGTAAATTGCATGTCATGCAGATTAAAATATTAAATCTTATTTTTTCTTAAAGAGCTATGGAGATAATCTAAAATCATTTGTAATTCTTGTATGTAACCGGATATATATTTATCCGGATAAATTTGATCTATCATACTTTTGCACAGAATTAAACTAGAGGAGCTAAGAGGTCACAAAGTCGTACCAATAATATGGCATTTATTGTACCTTCTCCACCTGTCTAGTTTCCATTGGTTGGGTCACTATAAAGAGAAACGGATAATGGATCAAGAAGAAATTAAGAAAGGAAAAGGGGAATTGAAGAGTGTGGGGTTTCTGAATAAAATATTAAGTAGACCTGAGATGTAATTTAAAGAATTTAAGCCGCGGTTTAAATCTGCCAAAACCCGGTTTAAATTAAGCGCCGGCTTAAATTTTAAAACATTTGATACAATTTTAAGTGGAACCAAACATATTTAAGCCGCGGCTTAAATTTAAACCGCCGCTCAAATTCTTTAAATTCGGCCACTCGCACCAGAGGACAAATTGTTAAAAACAGAATGAAAAACTAAGTGCGCAGTTTGAGGATGAAAAACATAGAGAACGGAAAACAGAGAGAGGTGTAATAATAACAGAGAACTGAAAATTGAGAACTGAGAACAGATAAATGTGAAAACGGAGAACAGATAAATGAGAAATAATAACAGAGAATTGAGAATGGAGAACAGAGAATTGAAAGCGGAGAATGGAGAACGGAGAAAAGAGAAATGGTAAATATGAAAACGGAGAACAGAGAACGGAGAATTAGAACAGAGAATTGAGACTGGAGCATGAAGAATGGAGAACGGAGAACGGAGAACAGAAGATCGGAGAACGTAAGAGAGGAGAACGGAGAATTAAGAAAGGAGAATTAAGAAAGGAGAACTAAGAACGGAGAACCAAGAACAGAGAATAGAGAACCAAGAACGGAGAACCAAGAACGGAGAACTAAAAAGAGAGAACTAAGAACGAAGAACTAAAAACCGAGAACTAAGAACGGAGAAATAAGAACAGAGAACTAAGAACAAAGAATGGTGAACTAAGAACGGAGAACTAAGAACAAAGTACTAAGAATGGAGAACTAAGAACGGAGAATAAAGAACGGAGAACACAGAACAGAGAACTAAGAACGGGAGAACGGAGAACTAGGAACGGAGGGCGGGGAGAAGGACGGATAGAGACAAAACCTTAAATGATACTGCGAGGAGTTGAAAGAGAAGGAAAGTTTAGTCTGAACATTGCTTTCCAGGGAGTAAGGTATATAATTTATAGTTTAAACGGACAGAATTATATCAGGTCTTTTATCAAGGAAAAGAATGAATTACTCTTATTTGAATTATGACTGAATCATAATCAGACGAATGAAAAGGAAGCAGAAATGGGAGACCTATCGTAAAATCAATAACAGAGTAGGGTACTTCTTTATTTACCCACTAACCTTGCAAAGGAATTGAGTCTTTGTCACAAACTCTGAATTTATAATCCCTAATTCTTCGGAACCCAATGTCGTAAATCTTTGATATTTCAAACTTATATTATTTGATCTAACAGAATTTATAGTTTGAAATATCTAAGGTCTACGACATTATATTTTGTATATTGTATTTTTCAATTTTTTTTAAAGTCAAACCAAGAACCAAAATTTCCAAGAAACTAAAACATTTTATGGATTTATAAAAAATAACACATTTTTACCTCTTTCTTGTTGTGAAGATTAACTGTTCTTTTATCTTTGCAATACACAAAGAAAGCTAAGTTAGAAGAGGGTCTTAAGATTTGCAATAATACAATATAATATATTTTTATATATATATTTTTGTCAAGATTTGTGCATGCACATTTCTAAGGTTTTTTCAGTAAAAATTTTGAAACGCAAATTTGTTTTTCCATTTTAATACAAGAAAATTTATTTTAAAAAGAAATTGTTTGGGGATTTGTTCTGTAATGTTTTTTATTTATCAATCATAAAAAATATTTCCATGGATACCCTAAAAATCTGCCAAGGGATAATAAAGGAAAAATTTAAAGATGTCCTCGGCGTCTTAGGTTAAAGCACCCTGAGCCTGGGAAAAGAAACAACCTAAGTTCGAAATCTAAGATTTAAACTTGAAAATTGTTCTGTGTGCACTGAGTCCGAATTTAATGAATTTAAGCAGCGTGTAAAATCCGCCTAAAACTGGTTTCAATTGAAACATTGAATACAATTTTAAATGAAACCAACCATATTTGAGCCGCGGCTCAATTTCTTTAAATTCAGCCACTGTAAACATAACTTTAGGCGACATGCAAAGATGGCAATTATCGAAAATATTGTCGTTTTTCAAGGTTAAAAGTGTTTAATTCTAGGTTTAAAACCGCGAAAAATAATAAACAGTTTAAATAAACAAAACATGGATATCTAATTCTTACTTGTTTAGACAATGCTTTCAAGGGTATCGTTGTAAATCTAGCATTGTCATCTTTGCATGGAGGTTACTAAAAATACGCTTACAGTCTCTTTAATTCTATCCTAGTTAATCGTGGTCTGTATTGTAGTGTTACTGTTCAGAGGAATAAATATTTTCGAACATTAATAAATGATTAGAATTTTTGGTTTTTGTTTTATCAATAGTTTAGAAAATAGTGATATTGTATGAATAGTATATGAGATGTGTGTGAATATTAAATGACCCTTCATTATCAAATCAATACTTCAAAACAAACAAAAAGTTTAGACGATAAAAACGATTATCAAATATCGTTTGAAACCTGAATTCAAATAAGAAAAAGAAGTAAATAAGTATAAAAGCATAAGGAAAAACGAAGAAAATGAGAAAATAATAACTAATACACCTCACGGTAAGTTAGTCCACTGAATCTTAACTTAAGAACCCATTTTCATTCATTAAATGAAAACTGTCGCATTTGAAATTTGATTCTTTTATGTTGGGCCATAGTATTTTAAATATTTCACTATTTATGACAGATTTGAAATGTAAATATTCAAATAGTTAGTTTTACATCACCTAAAATATTTAAACGTTCTGGCTAAAATCGAATTTAATGGATAAGAAAGTAAAACTCAAAACATTGAATTGTCGAAAAATCTAAAATCAAATTAGAATATCTGGAAATGTGATTAAATTTGTGAAAATGCGGAGTAAGCAAATAGAGTTGAAGAAATCATTAACATTCAAATTTTTCAACTGACTGAGAAAGAATAATTATCAAATATCTGCTTATATATGCATTAATTAAATATTAGTTTAATTCTGTCGATTAGTTATCAACCCAATTTTACCTTATATCAAAAACTGTCATTGGTCTAGCTTGAAATGGACAAAAAGGCTGATAGGGCCCAATTATTAAATATCCAACTTACATAACCCCAAAAAAGGTTTATGGATGGTTTAACATGAACAATTTTGCCCAACACAATTCTCCACATCTCAAGGTCTACACCTCTGGGTTGCAAAGATATAGGAATCAGAAATCGAGTTTGTGGCTAAGACTCAATTACTTAGATCTCACATGGCTGCCATATGATTTGATATTTGTTGCACTATCGAGCAGAGACATCTGGCGGCCAACTATTTCGGCGTTTTATGTTTATTGAATACAAAACAAATAAAAAATAGTATGAGATATTAACTATATACGAATGCGTCCAAATATAATCGATGACTATAGGTTGTAATATCTGAATGATTTGCTTGAAATTAAATTGACATATTAACTATATACGAATGCGTCCAAATATAATCGATGACTATAGGTTGTAATATCTGAATGATTTGCTTGAAATTAAATTGATTATTTTACGATTCAAGCTGAATATTGCAACTTTCTAATTTTGTATGGACGCTACGTTCTTCGGTATGAGTCGTTTTTAAAAAATTTCACCTTATGGACGCAATGGATAGAAGTAAGATTAGTAGCGATCAAAAGCCCTTATATTTTTCGCTGTAAACCTATACCCCCTTTTATTTTTCACGAACACTACCTATATTAACTTACGTACATTTAAAACTTTTCATTCTAAGTTCTTTTTAGAATATCTGTCCGCCCATCTTTCAGTAGTAATACGTGTTTTGTAATCTTTACGACCTAGAATGAATCTATTACAGTTCATGAGACTTTAAATTACAAGAAATTTCCTTCTTTGTGATTATGGTCGAAGCAACTATTGAGAAATTCATATTTTTATTGATTTTAGTTTCGAACCTACCTTAATTTGATGTTGATGGTGACCCTTCAAGATGTAGATCCTTTCAATTCTACAGGTTCAGGTACAGATATAGGTACAGGTACAGGTACAGGTACAGGTACAGGTACAGGTACAGGTACAGGTACAGGTACA